CAGTCCAGGTGGCAGCCAAAGGATTCCTGTTGCAATCTGTAGATCAGTTTCCAAAGGAACTGATGTTTCAATTAATGAATGGACCAAGTTCTGGTATATTGTAGGAGTGACTCCCAAACAAGCTTGCAATAACGTAAAGCAGTGGTTTCAAGCACCTGTATTTGGATCAAAATCAGCCCCCAAGCAGAAGCATTGTATTGTCTGGAGCAACTGGAGAGCAGATCTGCTACACCAACCTCTTAAGCTATACAGTATGTACTCTCCTTTGAACTTGGCGAGCTCTGCCGCCTGGTGTGGAGGATGGGTTGGGCCAGGGCCTCCACAGCTCTCTTTGGGTTTGTTAGAGCTGCTAATGACACTAGCCAGGAGCAGTCTTTGTACTCAAGTGAGGGCAAAGACTGCAGCTGTGCCCAGTTCCTTGTGCCTTCCTCATTCTTAAGCATCTGTGAAGGATCCAGGTTCAGGCCTTGTCTACATTTGGCATTGGCCCCAAATACAGCCATTTGGTGGCCAGACACAAGTGTAGCTGCCCTAGTGCAAACACCTATTATAGACAGGATAAAGAACGCTAAACTGCTGCAGCTCACCCAGCTTCAAGCAGAGGTTAGCCCCACCATTACAAATAACAGTGTTGCCTGTAAGGGAGTTACAGTACTGCAGGTACAATGCTGGCTGTAATTGGGGGAACAAATACAGGCCCTTAAACTGGTATATTATGGGCCAGATCCTCAGATGGTGTAATCTGACCTAACTCATTCAAATCAATGGAGGTTTATTGATTTACAGCAGATGAGGATCTGGCCTGAAGTTTGTAAAGCACTTCAAGGTCTTTAAAAGGAAGGTGTTATCGAAGTGCAAAGTATTATTTTATTATTACAATGGATACTGTTGCATGATCTAAACTACTTCCACTCAAAACAAATGAAAAGGTTATTTCCTTTTAATATCTTCCAGCACATGCAGTGCAATTATAAAACAAAACACACGAATGACAAGAGAGGGAAAAAAAATGACCAAACTAAATGCTTCCAATTCTGGATTATTGGTATTTAGGTAACTGCTCTACTGCTTTTCTATTTGATGATAATTAGTGGGATTAGCTAAATTATATACTGGGCCAAATTTGTTCACTAAGAAGGATTATTTACACAAAGCAAAATCTGACAATAATGTAATTACACTAAAACCATGCCTTTAGAAAGAATGCTCAGACAGAAATCGGCGAAGAGAATCACATTTCTTGCACAACTGATTTTGTCCAACCTCATTGTCTGATTTATTTGCAAGGCCTGTTTCTTAAACTCCTTTAATTTTAGTCTCTCTCTGAAATTTGTGAGTGACTCTCTGTAAAATTTCAATGTAAGTTTACATTTTTCTCTTGTCTTTTACTTTCCCCATTCCTTTGGTCTATTCAATATATTTTTAATAGTATAATTTTAGGAAAGTGGTCATATTCACCCATGGTAGGACTACACTGATTTCAGCTCAATTACCCCCAAAATGAATTTGGAACAAGACATTTAAGATCAAAGCCTCACTCTCTCACTTTAATTCCTTTTTGTTTTAGAGACTGTAGTGACTTTAATAAATTAATTTTGGACTTAATCCTGGACTCTGTGCAAAGCTCAAGTAATCAAGTGGACACATCCACCTCACTAAAAAAAAACAGGATGAGGCTACTGAACTCATTTCATATGTTACTTAAATAATATTTGAACATCAATCGCTAGAAGTAAATTACTTAACACCAGATCTTGGGAATCCTAATTGAAATCTGTTCAGAAACTAGAAAACTAACCCTAGCAATTAAGGGCCTGATCCTCTAGCCAATGAAGTCGATGGCAGAGCTATCATTGACTTGAGTGGTGAAGCATTAGGGCTTAGATGAATGTTACCACATTTAGGTCCCAGTCCTTCAAAGAGTTCCACACAGGATTCCTATGTCCATGTGGAACTTCACTACAGTCAACAGGGCTACATATGGGGAAAGAGGTTTGCCTACAAGATCAGGACCTTATGTATTAGGTGTATGGACTTTCATAAATACAATATACATTCTTCCAGAAACACACTGTACACGTACCAAAGAAAAAAGCACAAAAGTTTTGTCCCCCCAAAATCTTTTGCTGACATCCATAACAGTTCAAAATTTATCTTTGAGTGTTACACAATTTTATTAGAAAACATTCCTTTTTAACAATCTTCTCCCATTACAGTAAAGATTAAATGTAAAGCTTACTGTAAAATTGAATTCAATGTGGAAATACATACTTCATGCAAATAAAAATAATGCTCCCACTAACAGGACTGAGAGTGTTTGGAAGAACTAAGCAACTATCAGTTAAATAATATATTCAGCAGATAATATATTATTCAATGAATTTTATTTTGCATGATTCATCCAGATCTTCTGCTGATCAGATACTATCAGTCAAAGAATTTGTCAAATAATGTATTTTTATCTAATATGTTATATTACAAATAAATGCATCCAGTATTTGGCCAGCTGCAGCATTTAGCATAGAAAAGTTTTTCATTTTCTTTTCAGAAACTAACACAATTTTTTAAAAGGCATTACGTATTTTGGTTCTGTATACCTTTCACAGTCTGGGAAATAGGGGATCTCGTGTTGCTGGGCTTGGCCCAACATTCATTTTAGCTTTGTTTTCTGTGTTGAAAAAGCAAGTATTTACAAATGAATTTTAAAAATTGCTCACTGTAAATAGAGCTGTTTAGTAAAATTGTGGCAACATCCAGGGGCTTAGTAAACGATGTAAAAGGAAAGAACATCAACATACTATCAGGAGATACTCAAAAGGCAAAGGCTAGTTTTAATTGCTACAGAGCAGTACTTTAAAAACAACTAGAAACTCTTCTCAAATACTAAAGACTTTCAAATGCCAGACCTATTTGACCCGGCAAAGTGCATAAATATAAAGTGTTTTCTCCTCCAGAAACAAATCAGAAATACACAATATGAAGATTATTAAAATTCTCCCGCATTATTTAGAATTAAATTTTATGGTAATGCCTAGTTGATAATGCTATAAAATAATCATATAAACATACCCACTCTGCTGCTGCCAGTTCCTTCATTTTCTCTGTGAAAGCCACTGCAAACCTAGTTAAATGGACAAAAATGGGGAGGATCATCTGCTTAAAGTCTTTAAATATAATAATAAAGGGGCACTTCAGAACAAAAGTATATAAGAACAAAGACTGGAAGCTGATAAAAATGATTACAGTAAAATGGAAATGCAGGAAGCAGCAATTCTATTTGTTTTGCCAAGTAGAGCTAAAGTGAGGATTTATTGCATTCAATGAAAGCCCAGACACTGGGGATGCCCACTGCCATTTATCCAGATTGACATAGTTGCCTCCAGGCTGCTCTTCCCACTTCTACTCCCAAGTTATGGTACACTTCTTTCTAACGAGAGAAGGAATCTGAAGTCCAATACAGTTAGGGCAGTGGTCTCCAATGCGGTGCCCGCGGGCGCCATGGCATCTATGTACGCCCGCGTACTGGCCGGCGGACGAGCATCTGCCAAACGCCGCCGACAAGCAGCGTCATCCAGAGGCGTCCCCGCCGAAATGCCGACGACGACTCTGGATGATGATGCTCGTCGGCGGCATTTTGGCGGCGACGCCTCTTGACATTGCCGCTTCTCAGTGGCATTTCGGCGGATGCTCGTCTGCCGGCCACGGTGCGTGGTGGCTTGTCGTCTGGCGCCCGCCAGATGAAAAAGGTTGGGGACCACTGAGTTAGGGCATGTCTACACATACAGTACTGCAGCTGTACCAATTCACACCCCTGAGCAACATAAGTTATGTCGACATAGGTAGTAGTATAGACATAGCCCTGCATATTGCTGGCAGATCAGCCCAGGCCAGCAATTTGCACCTCTTTACCAGTGAGTACCTGTATAACGCCTCACCTTCCCTTCTCCCCACTGTCTCCTAAGTTCCTGTATCGATGCTGTTTACTTAAATCAGCATCGATGAGAGAGGAACAGTCACAAGCCTGTTTCCATGCAGTTGCTCGGTAGTATCTGCTCTACACCATTACAATGCATTCCACATATACAATTTGACAGTTTAAAGGTTATTAAAGCCTTTGCAAATGCTTGTTTTCTCAAGTTGCATATGCTCCCTTTCAAGTTTTTACAATTATACTTTCAATACATCACATTAACAAGCAGAAAAACTCTTGCTCCCAAGTCCACAAAGTACTGTCAAATTGAAAATATACCCTGGAGGAGTACAACCACCATTTAGAGGAATTTGATTAAAAATGAAACACTCATTATAAAGCTAGACACAGTTCAATACTTTGTTTTATGGAATTTGGTGGTATATTGTGCTGGACAAGTAATCTACGATTCATGGAACTTTTCTGCTTAGAACCCTGAAATCAATAATAAAAAAATCAATTTTTATTTTAATAACTATGCCATGAATAATACTGCCAGGATGATCTGTTCACTGTAGGTTCTAGAAAACTGAATTACCTTTCCTATACCAGAGAAAACATCACAAACTCTACAAAGCACATGGTAATACATTTTGAAGCATCAGAACAAATCGAGCCTAATAAAATACCTTTAAAGTTCCTAAGCTAATTATCACAAAACTGCATTGACTACCCATAGAAGGTATTTGACATATGCAAAAGCTATGTTTTTGCAAGATTTCATATACTCTAAATACAGAAACACAGGTCACACTGGAGAGACTTCAAATTAAAAAAATAGGGGTCCAGTTTTTATAAAAATGTTCAGTTTGCTTCTGTCTAATGTTCACATTTAATATTTTTGTATCAATTGCCACACTATCTCTTTTCTCCTCCTCTTCCAGAGTTATTTACCACAGGTGTTTCTGAAATGAAAACTACAATGTAATATAAATGATATTCTAACCATCTGATTACAAGCAAGAATAAACTTCTAAGGCCTCGATTCAGGTCAGCACTTAAGCATCTTCTACTAGGACTTAAGCCTCCCACTAGGACTTAAGCCTGGGTGGGCAAACTTTTTGGCCCGAGGGCCACATCGGGGTTGCGCAACTGTATGGAAGGCCGGGAAGGGAAGCCTGTGCCTCCTCAAACAGCCTGGCCCCCGCCCCCTATCCGCCCCGTCCCACTTCTCGCCCCCTAACTGCCCCCCTCAGAACTCCCAACCCATCCAACCCCCCCTGCTCCTTGTCCCCTTATCTAACCTCCCCTGCTCCCTGTCCCGACCCCTATCCACATCTCCGCCCCCTGACAGGGCCCCTGGGACCTCCCACTCCCAACCCTCCCTGTTTC